CGCTCCCCTTCCCGCTCCCGCCGGGGCAGAGAGGAGCCCGACTCCCCCCCTCAGGGCGGCCCACGCCACGAGGGCGCGCGGCCGTTGCCCCTCGCCTCAGGCCGAGGCGCGAGGAGGGGACACCCCGCAACGGCCATTTCGCGGGGGTGCGGAGGACACACACACACCACACGACACAGCTCGGCCGCCCTAAGGCGGGAAGACACCGTTCGTCCCTCTCTCTCACTTACTCCTCTCCACAGCTCAGCCCCGCCGCCGCAGCAGCTCGCAGCCGCCACAACCCCTCCGCTTTCTTCCTCCTCGCAGCGGCGCTAACCCCACCCCCGACACTCCCCGCCTCCTCCTCCTCCTTCTCCTCTCGCCGCCGCCGCCCGCAGTTTAAAGACAAATCCGGCTGCGTCACTTCCAGCCCGGTCTGCGTGGAGGAAAGGGGTGTGTGTGTGTGTGTGAAAGTCCGTCCAGCAACACGGTGGTGTCTGAGCGTTATTACTGATAGAGCTGAGCTTGTTGGTTTTTTTTTTTTTTAAATGTTTTAAGGAAGGGCGAATAAAAATCGAAATAAAATGGCGGGGGGACGAGGGGGGGAAAAAGTGCAGTTGCATTGGCCGGGAATCGAACCCGGGCCTCCCGCGTGGCAGGCGAGAATTCTACCACTGAACCACCAATGCTTATGCGATAAAAGCGTCGCGCCGCCGCCACTAGAAGGTGCGCGGTGCGGATGGCGCATGCGCCTCCGCGGGCTTTCAAGCGGTCGCGGCGGGGCGGGCCCGCTCCGCCGCGACCGTTTGAAAGCCCGCGGCGGCGGCTGAGGGGAGGCCCAAGCACGTAGGCCCCCCCACACACACCTTCTATCTCTTTATTCAGCTGAATTAAAGCAAACGGATCTGAAAACGAAGCCCATCTAGGGTGCCAGCAGCAGCAGCTGAAAACCCGCCCCCCCGCACTGCCTATTTAGCCGAATAATCTTTAAAGGAATCTAAATAAATCCTTCCCACCCACAGCTTTGCGACAGCAGAAGGTACATCAGTCTCAAAGGGACTTTGATGCAAGTAACCTGGACTAAAACTTACTGCAGAATTCCACCACTGCTGGTCAACCGCCCCAATAAACCAGTCCCCACCGCAGGTCACCAGTGGGAACACCCACCTGAGAAGCAGCAGCAGCCATCACCGACCTCAGGAAGACTCTGCACCTACCTATGAAACGTGAAGTTTCAAAACACGGGCAAGGCAAACCACGTTGGAGAGCTGGGACAACGTTCAGGTGGAAGTAACCTTCTCAGATAAGCTGGACACACCGCATTTTTGCAAGGAAATAGGTAATACTGCAGCGTATAGGCAGCAAAATTCAAACAAGGTGCATTACAACTTCTAACACAACGTAACAGAAAATGCCAGAAATGTCTACCAAATTCTAAAGATGTGAGCCCTCCCTATGTTTGTTTCAAAATAGTAAAATAATATTTAATATTTCAGTACTTGCACATGGCCTTAAAAGACTGAATATTTTCCTTTAATATAAGAAATTGGGGTTGCTTGTATAGAAGTGTGGTGCCTTTACAGGACTCTTTTTTTTTTTTAAACACATTGGCCAGTTACAGCGTTTAAACAGGAATATAACATAAAACAATGTAGGCAGAGGAGAAATATACTCAGATAAAAAGGCAATTTTAACAGTCAATTTAATGAAGAATTGACATTATTTTCTCTGCACACTTCACAAATGGTAAGGCAGCCTTGATTAAATTACCTTTAACCAGTAATATATTATACTTTACTCCAAGACAAGTAGACCAGTTTTACTGGGATACTTACTATGAAGAAGGATAATCTTTAAAGGTTTATTTACATGGAAAACAATCTTTTTTACATAATATATAAAATGGAGTAGTTATACACTGCAGCCATTTTATAATATTTAAGCTAAATTAAATGAATTCTATTTCATTCTATTTCTATTCTATTTCAACAGCTGTGAAACAAGCAGAGAGAACATGAACCATTTGATTTAGCTAGGAGCCCATTTTCATTATAGAAAGTAATTAACTACCTGCTTGAGAGAACAATTTTTCATAACCATCATCTAACCATGACAAGCACTTCACAGTAGAGGGATGAACTTCCACAAACACTCTCTTCCATGAAAAAGCCTGTTTAAGAAGTTTCCACGCTGCCAACCTCTTTACTGCAGTCCCCTCCTTCCTCGTTTACGCCAATATAAATAATTTTTTGGACCACACTAGAACCTGGATCACGCAAATGAGCACAATTACAAGAAAGCAAGCTCCAAAGGCTGAACACCAGGCAGTTTTGTCACTGACGCAGTATTTAGCCCAGTCCTGCAGACAGTGGCACTGGCACACAGAGACACTGAACTGGAGCACAGAAAGGGAACAAACGGCTAGAAGGGCACAAGAATTTCTGAAACCATCTTGGTGAGAAAAGTAAACCAGTAACTGGCGTTTACTGCGAGAACCAGCTACGACCACCAGTTTCATGATGTTTAGACAGTCAACAATGCCAGTGCAATGGCACAAGTAATAACTTAAGAAAGCAGTAATGCTTACAGGCACGTTATTAGATT